CCCAGAAAGGCATGAAATCTAAAACATGATTATTTTCTGTCTTATATGAACGCCTTGGACCAAGTGTTTCACTTGTGTGAATGAGAAAGCTATTACGATGCAAAGAAGTAGCTTGGAATAAATAAAAAGCCTTTTCTCTGATTTAAATACTTCTTGCTAAATATTACAGTAATTACAAGCAGTGCTTAGACTTTGAAATCTTCTTTGGTTCTGTGCTATGATGTATTTTAGCAGGATTCTCGTAAGGCTATTAAAAATGCCTTGGTTAAAGGAACATGCAGTTCAAAAGGATAACTTTCTCGACAGACACAATGGATTGGTAGTTAGATTTTGCGTATCTTTTCATTTCTTTCCAAATTCTCTGACCCAGGGTAACCTTTGGTCCTTCTTGGAGGGTGAAAATGAAGGGAGTTTGAGCAGGTGACTGATGATCCCTTTCTCAACAGCTCACAGACAATATACAAATTACGTTACCAGCCCCCTTTATCTATTCCCTTCACTCCTCCCTCCTTAAATCAACAATGCAAATAGCTCCATCCCCATTTGCTGGAAATACAGGCTTGCTCAGGCAACATGGGCTTTGTTGTTGAGTCCTTTTCTCCAGAAATACAGTTTTAATCCTGGTTAGAAAGATTAAGGCAATGAAGTGGAACCTAAGTCATCTTAATGGTAAATACAGCAGCAGCTTGTCACTCTGGGGTATTTATAAAGGTAGGAATTATCTTTATATTGCAGCTAAAATCGGGTTAAAGAAATCTATTGTCTGCTTTGTTAGTTTTTGTGCACTACATATACCAAAGACTTTAGACAGTCCTGTTTTAAATATTACTTATTGATACTTTTAGCGCTATTGTCTGCTTTGTTAGTTTTTGTGCACTACATATACCAAAGACTTTAGACAGTCCTGTTTTAAATATTACTTATTGATACTTTTAGCGCTATTATTTGAATAGTCACATTCAAAAGTTGTCTTTAAAATGCGTGGGGAAAAATTCAGTCTTTGCTTATTTCTACCTTAAAAATGCTTGTATTTTTTTAAAGCAAGGAACAATCTGATTATAAGTAATATTTAATTATTTAGATGAGCAGTTTATAATGAAAGTATAATTTTTCTCTTAAGTTTTAGGACTATGACCATAAATAATTTTCCACTGACATTGAATGAGACTTACTAAAAAACTTTATGCTATGGAAATATGAATAACATTTTGCTGGTTATTACATCAAAACATTTAAATTTTTTTGTGTGTGAAATTTGTAGCAGTTCCTGCTGTGATTATTTTGAACAACACAGTGAAAGTCAGTGTTAGAAATTATTCAGGAAAAAAAAAGATACTATGATTTAAAATTCAAGTGATTTTTTTAAAGCTTATATTGTTAAATGAATTTCTGATTGACCTAAAACTGTTTTTTGTGTGTGTGTGTGTGTGTGTGTGTGTGTGTGTGTGTGTGTTTGTGTGTAATTTCTTCTGAAAATATTAAAGATTATAGCTATTGTACTTTTTTAATACTCTCAAGTATATATTAGTAGCAGTTGTGAAATAAAATAGTCACCATGGAAAATATTTCCCCAGAGAGCTGAAGGGAATAGTTTACCATAATGCTTCTGTAATTTATAAGCAGAAAACTCATATGCTTTAAAAATGTGACTCTAAAGCCCTTCTAAATTCTGATTGTGATTTCTTGTTTATTGATTTTTTTTACTTCTTTACTAGGCTGAATATTTATGAGACAATTATATAATAGGACTGAAAAAGCATGTCAATGTTGTTAGATCTAATTTTAATTTAGTATAGAATGTATGCCAAGGGGGGAAAAGACACTCTTCTGTTTTTGTTTTTCAAGGACAAGATCTTACTCTAATATAGGCTAGACTTGAATTTACAGCTGTTTTTCTGTCTCGCTCTCCCTCTCCCAAGTGCTGGGATTATAGGCCTCAATAACCATTCTAGATTTTTTCCTTCTGTAACTTTTAAAAATAACTTAAATCCACAAGCCAAGTTTTGAAATAGGATTGAATCAAAGCTATAGATAGAGCCTTTAAATATAGTTCATTTTTGCTTTAGTTATCTAGGCATAATGTTTTAAATCTCTTAGAAATGGCATGTAATTGCTTCTCAAATGACAGTGCTATATTTGATACCTTCCAAAGTAAAGTCGTTTAGATGAATCCTTGGTTTTCTGAATGGATCATTTCCTTTTAAATAGGAGTCACCTTTTATTATGTGTTTAGATATTTTTAGTACTGGAAAATGTGTTGTTGATTCTTAGAGAGAAATCTATTTGGGTCATCAAAGAGACTCAGGAAAGATGATGGAGGAGCTAAGGTCCAGACTTGTTAATATCGTAGAGTATAGGTGATAGATAAATGAGCAATTAGTGTAAATCTTCAGAAATTGATGCAAGTTTTAAAATAGAAACTGGGACAGTTACCACTAAATTTTAGAAACATTATTTTCCTTTGTAGCTAGTTCTTTGTCCTTGTTACAGCCAGTTTGTAAATAATAAATATTTAAAAATGGAAATGGTAGGAGACAAAAAAAATGTTTTTTTCTTCTTGGGGGCACTGTGTAGGAAAGTAGAAGACAGTGGAAAAATGGTATCTAGAAGTCTAAATGATGACACAGGGAGAATTATAAGTGGAAATCTGTGGAATTGGATGGCTGAAACATAACAGAACACCTATTCTTTTAATAGAGGTAGCATTGTGTGTTTGTTAGAATTCAACTACCTGGACAACAAAGAGGAATTTTCCTTTATGGAATGACAAGTAAGGCTTTTTGAAGGACTTCTACTTAATATAATTAATCTACACTTGAATTCTGAAATTGCTTGAGACTGAGGTGTAGATTATTGTGTATTAGTTTTGAGGACACTAAAGATCACTGCTGACATGCAGTGAAACTGTATAAATATCTGTTATTTTTAGTTCATTCATAGACAGTCATCCCTCAGTATCCTGAGGGGATTGGTTCCATGGCCTCTAGAGATAACAAAATACAAGGATGCTCAAATCCTATGTAAAATGATGGAGTATTTGTATATAACCTATTTATACCATCCTTTATATTTTTATTATTATTATTATTATTATTATTTTGTTTTTTTTTGAGACAGCATTTCTCTGTAGTTTTGGTGCCTGTCCTGGATCTTACTCTATAGACTAGGCTGGCTTTGAACTCTCAGAGATCCTCCTGGCTCTGCCTCCCAAGTGCTGAGATTAAAGAGGTGCGCCACCACGGCTGAGCCTCCATCCTTTATGTTTTAAATTGTCACTAGAATACTTTAACCTGGTCCAATATAAGTGCTATGTAAATAGTTGTATCATTTAAGAAATAATGACAAGTCTGTATATGTTCAGTAATGATAGAGTTTTTTTCTTAGCATTATTTATCCATCGGTGGTCAAATGTACAGATTTACTATAGGGCCAGCTATATGACTATTTAAGTGGAATGTTATGCTTTATCAAATAATTTTTTCTTTAGAATAGCTGATTCTGTTATTTACAGAAGTGGCTAGATTATTCATCTTTTTTTGAGGCATTTTGCATTTTTAATTACAAATTGGTATTTATTACAGAACATTCAGAAATTAAGATTACAGTGGTCATAGGCTAACCTAAAATTGTGTATATGCTTTCCTTCTAGAAATAATGATTGCTAATATTTTAGTATATAAACTTTAGGGTATTTTAATTAAAACTTAGAATATTAATTGCCAGTACTCATAGAAACCAACTGGAAACATCTTACAGAGCATGTATTGTATTGTTTGCATGTATATAGAATTATATTGATTTGTTTCTATTTACTTATCCTATTATTATTATTATTATTATAATTAGTAGACAAACTTTCTCTAAGAAATGTTAAAGAACCAAGAAATTTGTCAGAAAGTACTTCTCCAAATATTTGGTGTAGATTTTTTTTTGCTAGAATGTATATTTAACCTATAAAATTGAAAACTCAATTATTTTTAATCAAAGTAATTACTTTGAGGTCAAACAAAATAAACCTGTATATCAATAAAATTGAAGAAAACTAAATCACTTAAAAATTGGCTTACCGAGAACACATTGGTGCTTATTTTCAACACTACTTTAAATTGTATTCCTTTGAGGTTTACATGTAAGCTTCCTCAAATTTGAACATTACCCTCATTACTTAATTCTATATTTTTAAATCCTTTGGATTTTAGTGCTTTATATTGTGATACTACCACTTTTATCCCTATTTTTACTGATTTGAGTCTTCGTTGTTTTGGCTAGCTTAAAGGTTTATCAGTCTTATCTTTCAAAGAATCAAATATTTATTGTCGTTTTCCCTTTTAGGAATTTTTAATTTGGCTTGTTTTTACTTTTCTAAGACCTTTAAATATATCATTAGGTTATGAATTTGATATCTGATTTTAATGTAGGCACTCTTAGCTATAAAATTCCATCTTGCTTTATATCAAAAGTGTGTGTGTGTGTGTGTGTGTGTGTGTGTGTGTGTGTGTGGTCTCTGCCAGCCAAAAAACAATTTTAGAATTAATAATGCTTACTATGTAAACTATAGTTTTTATACTAAGGAAATTGTCAAGGCATGATTACTGAAATATCTGTTTTGTTTGTTTGTTTGTTTGTTTTTTGAGACAGGGTTTTTCTGTATAACAGCCCTGGCTGTCCTGGAACTAGCTCTGTAGACCAGGCTGGCCTCAAACTCACAGAGATCCACTTGCCTCTGCCTCCTGAGTGCTGAAATACCTGTTTTTAAACTGAACATAGACACAATTTATCTGGCATGTTATCGTCACACACAGTATTAAAATTGTGTAAATTAGGCCACCAGGTAACTAGAAACTGTATATCACATGAGAATGAATGTTATTTATGACAACACTATATTAGAATGTATAAATTATTACTAGAAGCTTTAATATTTGGCATGCATACAGGAACCTAACATGTTCTAGCTTTTAAGTGCACATGATTTTTTTTCATTTTATTTCTCAAAAAAGCTGAAAAGAAACCAAAGAGCAGAGGAGTGACTAGACCTTGGAAAGATGGAGCCACAGCTTTGGAAAGTATAGAAGCAGCCCCAGGTGATTAACATTTTTTTCTGTATCAATCTACAAGATGATTCCTGTACATTGAATAATAGTATAGTGTTTTCAAAAGGAAAGGCTTTTCTGTGTTTTAAGAAAACAAATAAAAATGTAGACCAATGTTAAATGGCTAGAAATTTTCACTGTGATAAGTCAGTGATGCTTGGTATTTAATGAAAGCCTACTTTTGAGAAAATTAGACTATTTATTTACTATATGAAATTCTAATGTACCTAAAACTTCCATTTAAGTGTCACCTTTGTTTAAAGTATTTTTAGTTTTACATTTTAATGCTTTTCTTTGAGAATTTCATATAATTCATTTTGATCATATACTTTCCCTGCCCCCAGTTCCTTCAGGATCTTTCCATGCCTCCCTATCTACCTGAATTCCTGTTTTTTATGCTATTAATTAATAAAAGAGGGCAAAAACACATAGAAAAGGGAGTCTGATATGTGTTTTCAGACTATTCTGGAACATGGGACCTGCCTTGGAATGGTAGCCAGTGTCATTCCGGTATACAAATTTGATCTTCTCTTATCCAGCAGGTCTCCATTGTAAATTGATTCTTGGCTAGGGCTGGGACTTAGTTTCTACTTCCCCTCCTCCATTCTAGGATTTTGTCAGGCTTGAGCTTGTTCAAGTATTATACATTCTGTTGCAGTCTTTGTGAGTTCCTTTCTGCATCTGCCCTGTTAGATACTGAAAATCTTGTCTCCTTGTAGACTTCTACCATCTCTGGTTCTTCCAGTCTTTTTGTCCTCATTTTCACATAGATTCCTGAGCCTTGACAGCAGGGGTTTGATACAGACATCCTGTGTAAGGTTGGGTATTTCAAAGTCTCACTTTCTTCAGGTGGTCTACTTTTAGGTCTCTATATTAATTGCCATCTACTGCATAAAGCTTTTCTGACAGGGTTTGAGTGATGCACAGATCAATGAATATGTCATTAAGAGTCATTTTAGTGTATTTAGCAGAATAATAATGGTTGATTTTCCCCCCTAAGGCCCCAAGACCTGTCTTGTCACAGGTTATTGGCCTCATTGGCAGTGTTAGTTATAGATTCCATTTCATGGGATAAACCTTAAGTCCAGTGAAAAACTGGTTCATTCTATAACATTCTTACCACTATTGTGCCAGTGAGCGTATCAGAGGGTTCATAGCTATATGAGGTTGATTATTTCTTTTTTCTGCTGGTAGTGTCTATAGTACATTTTAGTAATGTGAACCCTAGCCAGTAAGGGTGAAGCTTCCAGTTGAGTACCAGCTGGGTTTCTCTATGTACCATGACATAAATATGTGGTGTGTTCGGCAAATTAAAAGTACTCTGGAATTCTTGTCAAGTTGTAAAGGGTTACCAATAGTAAAGGCAATGGCCTGTAGTGTTAGGGATTGGGTCTATGAGAAACCTTTGGCCAGTACCTCAAAAAGAAGTTCCAGGTACTAGGGCTTTTATTGGTAGCATATGCTGTCAGTTTGAGTTGTTGTCCATTTCATATTATCATTTCACTTAAACTCTTTTTAAACATGTACATGTATTTTTCAGGAAGCTTCTATTGTACTGGTTTTCCCTTTGGATGGTTTGAAAGGATTTTCATGTTAGTTATCACTTTCTACATTCTCTCTTCTGACCTCTCCCATCCTCCACCCCTTAAATCCATATATTTCTTTTACATTGGTCATATTCCTAACCATTCCTACAGGATTTATAAATGTGTCTGAATTTTACACTCTCATCCATTACCCATATATGTGCTATGTAACTGGTGATTCCCACTGAAGGACATGAGTTGTGACATTCACAGTCCTCATCTGGCCTGACACACTCATCTCCAGGCCTTTATCTCCTCCTCCTTTCCTGGGACCAGTGATCCACTGATTTCAAATATTGATTTATTCAGTTTTTCTTTGCCTGTATCTTTATTTTTTTGCAGAACCTCTGTTTCTTTGCTATATTTTGTATCATAGTTGTTGAGTTCTCATCTCACCCTGAACTACCTGGCTGAATTTATTTACCTGTTCTTTTAAATCCACTTTGAGGTCAATCGTCTGTAAAAGTAGACTTTTGAATTCTTTGTCCAAAATTTTTACCATTTCAGCACTTGGATTTGGTTATGTAAGAGTTGGGGATGTAATATATATTTATCTCTCTCCGTGTGTGCATGTGTTTTTGCACATGCATGCAGGTACAGAGACAGAAGAAGGCATTGGATATTCTCAGCAGCTGTAGTTACAGGCAATTGTGAGCCACTTGATTTGGGTGTTGGAAACTGAACTCACGTTCTATGGAAGGGCAGCAAAAAATACTTTGAATTGCTGACCCATTTTTTTTTTCAGGCCCAAAGAGAGTTTTAAGATGGTATAATGGAATATGTAAATTCACTTCCAGAGATGGCCTTTAAGCTTCATGTAAAGTGGAGGTTTGGAACATTTGTTGAATGGAGCAGAGAGAGGTGGGAATTAAAAAAAAAAAGAAAACATTATAACAGGAGAATATAGTTAGAAATCAATTGCAATAGCGATTCCTTCATAGAGGTTAGAGTGGACATTACAGAGGGTCATATCCAGCTCATGTAGCTGTGTGATAAGATTGTTTTTATGTTCTTTGATTAGTTATTTTTTCTTTAAAGCACACAAAAAATGTGATAGACACAGAGACCATATGTATCCTTCAGAATGTTTACTGTCTAGCTCCTTACAAAACAAAATTGCTAACCTCTGTTCTGTTGCTTCTGACTAGAGAAAGTAGATGAGACTGTGACTCAGAGGCAGGAGCTGACTCATTGCTCAGGAAGGGATACTTAATTTAGAAGTATTGGTGGTATTGAACAGTTGTGAAAGTTGAATCAGATATGGAGCAAAGCCAGAAGAAACATGATGGATTGAATGAAAATACAAGGAACTATGGATAAACTTTGCAATAAGAATGTAACACTTGATCAGTTGGTCTGAAATGAAAGATAGCAAATAAGGGGATTGAAGGGTATACAAGGGGACACTGTTGTCTTGGAGATAAAAGAGTTCCAGAAATTGACAGGAGTAACCATTTCTAGGAACTTAGGTGGAATCTTTGTTAAAAATGTCAGTGTGGCCAGGCGGTGCTGGCACACCCCTTTAATCTCAGCACTTGGGAGGCAGAGTTTTAGGCTAGACTGTTCTACAGAACGAGTTCCAGGACAGGCTCCAAAGCTACACAGAGAAACCCTGTCTTGAGAAACCAAAAAAAAAAAAAAAAAAAAGAAAGAAAATGTCAATGTGATGCTCGGATGCCAGTCAAATCCTGAAAATGATGACAGAGAGACAGTGTAAAAAAAGAAAAAGTAATGTGAGTAACATCACTAGAGCTCTTTAAAAAATAGTGTACACATTCAACTAAGAGTGTGAGGTAGTAGTTAAAATAAGAAGAATCTGGCTTGTATGGGTGAATTAGGTGTAAATGGAGGGTGAAGTTATGTTGATAGTTAAATGATTTTATATTTGCCTTGGTAGCTAAGGATAGACTACTTCTATTAAGTGACTTGTAGAACTAAAATAAGAAAGCTACAGAAAGATGGGGTATTTGCTATGACAGGTCTTAATGCAAACTGTATGGTCTTTGGGTAAGGAAGAAACAAATAGTAGACTATACAAAGGCCGCAGAATGACAACAGTTGAGCTTTAAACACAAGGGTATTTATGTATGGGTGTATATGTTTCAGATATCTCCTAGAAAAGAGTTTTATTTAGAATAATTTGTTATGCTAAATACTCCCCCTGAAATAACCAAATTGTGAAGGTATTAATACTGAAATATCTCTTTTTTTAATTGTAAATATAGACACAAGTAACCTTGGAGGTAATTTTCACAAAATAATAAAATTATTTGAATTTGGCTACCAGCCAACTAGCTTTTTCATGACAACACTATAGAAGCATCTATATTTTATAATAGGAAGCTTTATTATTTGGCATATAAACAGGAACACAATGGAGTATAATGATTGTATCAACCACAACTAATGAGAACTTACTCAGGGTCTGAGAATCTGAGCTTGCTTTACCCAGCAGGACTGCATAAGGGGATGATCTGACCATGGGCATAGTTACCAGGTGTTTGGAAGGGTCTGCACTTGGCTGTGCAGTGTGCTTTGATCTAGCAAGGGGGAGGTCTTTTGCCCTGCCCCTTGGCATTGTTATGAAAGCCCTTTAGAAGAGGCAGAAGGGACCATTGGGTTTTGATCCAGCTCCTCCTCCAGCTCTTCCTGAAGCTATCCTGTGTTTCTGTCTTTCTCCTCTTCGGTATCTTTCTATTTAAGTTTCTTACTCCTCTCTCCTCCTCACAGGAACCCTCTAGAAGGGGGGAGCTGGCCTCCCACTGTCTTCTTAGTTGTAAATGTATATCATTTTTATTTTTCATTTCATATCGCCCAAAAGCTGCAAAAAACAAACAAACAAGCAAAAAACCAACCAACCAACCAACAAAAAAACCCCAAGGGCAGTATATTCACCAACCCTTTGGAGGTTGAAGACAGATCTGTGAAAGATGAGCAAGCAGCCCCAGGTCATTGCTCTGTTCTTTTATATTGATTTGCAAGATAATTTCTGTACATTGAATCGTGCTTTCAGAAGGAAAGGATCTTTTCTGTTTTAGGAAAACAAATACAGAAAGTAGCCCAGTGGTACACTGTTCACTTTGCTAGTCCAACATTTTTGTTTTAATAAAAGCTTCCTTTTTTTAGAGAAATAGACTATTGCCTCCTTTTTGCAGAATTAGACTATTTCCTGATTATATAAAAATTTAAAGTATATAAATCTTCACTTATGTGACATCTTTGTTTAAAATTATTTTTTCTATGTTAATGCTTTTATTCTTTGAGAATTTCATACATTTTTATCACATTTCTTGTACTCCTCTGACTCCTCCCAAATTGTCACCTCTCCATCCTATGGACTTCATATTTTTTTTTTTTTTGGTTTTTCGAGACAGGGTTTCTCTGTGTAGCTTTGCGCCTTTCCTGGGACTCACGTGGTAGCCCAGGCTGGCCTCGAACTCACAGAGATCCGCCTGGCTCTGCCTCCCGAGTGCTGGGATTAAAGGTGTGCGCCACCACCGCCCGGCGGACTTCATATTTTTATTCTCTCTCTTTTTATTATTTTTTAAGATATTTTCTATTTATTTTGCATATCAACCACAGATTCCCCTGCCCTACCTCCTCCCACCCCCAGCCTCCCCCCACAACCCACCCCCCCATTCCCACCCCCTCTAAGGCAAGGTCTCCCATGGGGAGTCAGCAGAGCCTGGTACATTCAGTTGAGGCAGGTCTCTTTTAAACAAATGTGGAAAAACACATAAAAAATTGGAATCTGATTTGTGTCGGCTGACTACTTTTGAACATATGGCCTGCCTTGGTGTGTGTTGATATAGTCATACTGCCATGGGTTTTCATATGACTTTTTTGAAAGAATTTTCTTTTTAAACCTGGGGTGTATAGCAGTTGTTAAAAGTAAAATAATAAGAGTCTGGTGAATAAAGTTTAATTAATTGTGAATGAAGAGTAAAGTTATGGCAGCAATTAAATGTAATTAAATAATCTTTAAAAATCTGATATTTGTCCTGGTAGCTGAATATAGACTACATCCTATTCTATGAACAGAAGAAGTGGCATAAAAGGGTCTAGAAAGATGGGGCATTTGTTTTCACATATCCTGTTTATTCATAGTATAAATGACCCATCTTCTTTTGACCCAGAAGAAGCAATTCTGTAGACTGTTTCACATTATGAAATAAACCCTCAAAAAATGTAACTGAGGTTTGTACACATATATTTTGTGTGTATGTTTCAGATTTCTCCCTACAGAGAAGTTTAGAAATACTTTTTGATAAGTAAAATTCATGTTTTTCTAGTAACCAAATTGTGAAGGAATTGGTTGTGTAATTTTTCTCTTGTAAACTATTAACACAGATACAAATGACCTGGCAGGTATTCCTCACAGATAATATTAAAGTCTTATCAGAATTGGTATATTAGGCAACTGGAAGCCACATATCACATGAGCCTGATGGTAGCCTTTTATGGACAATACTATAGGAGATTCTATGTTTTATTATAGGAGGGTTTATTATTTGGCATACGTAAAGGAACATAATGTGTTCTTGCTTTTAATGTACATCATTTTTATTTTTATTTCATACCTCCAAGAAGCTGCAGAAAAACCCAAGGGCAGTATATTCACCAACCCTTTTGAAGATGAAGACAGACTTGTGAAAGATGAGCAAGCAGCCCCAGGTGATTGCTTTAATTTTCCATGTTGATTTGCAAGATAATTTCTGCACAGTGAATAATGATGTAATGTTTCAGAAGGAAAGACTCTTTTCTGTTTTAAGAAAACCTATAGAAAGTAGCCCAATGGCCGGGCAGTGCTGGCGCACACCTTTAATCCCAGCACTTGGGAGGCAGAGGCAGACGGATCTCTGTGAGTTCGAGGCCAGCCTGAACTACAGAGGGAGTTCCAGGAAAGGTGCAAAACTACAGAGAAACCCTGTCTCAAAAAACCAAAAAAAAAAAAAAAAAAGTAGCCCAGTGATAAATTACTAGAAATTTTTAGTAGTATTCTAGTCCAAAGTTTCTGGTTGTTATAAATTAATGTATCTTTTTTTAATACTTTCTGATTTTATGAAATTCTCCTGTATGTAAATCTTCATTTATATAGCAACTTTGATTTAAATTATTTTTGTTTAGTGCTTTTATTAATATTTTCATGCATTTTAATTTTGTTCCTGTTCTTTCCCCTCCCCCATCTCTTCCCAAATTGTCCTCCATTTCTCCATCCTCTGGACTTCATGTTCTTACTTTCTCTTAAACATGTAAAACACATTAAAAAAAATGGGAGTCTGAGTTGTGTTATCCAACTATTCCTGAACACTTGGCCTGCCTTTGTGTGTGGTTCATATAATCAGTGTTATTCCACTGAAGAAAATGGATTTTCCTTTTCTAACAGCTATCAATTCTTGGATAGGGCTGGAATTTGTATGCCTGCTTCCCCTTCTCCATGCTGGGATTTTGTCAGGCTTGAGATTGTATATGTGTATTCAGTTGCAGTCTTTGTAAGTTCCTTTGTGCATCTGCTCTGTTATATTTAAAAAGTACTATCTGAGGGACATCCTTTTCAAGCTCTAGCTCAACTCTTTCTGCCTGTTCTTCCATATAGATCCCTGAGTCTTGAGGGGAGGGATGTATGTAATTTAGGGTTGAGCACTGCAGTCTCTTGCTCTGTGCATATTGTCCACTTGTAAGTCACTGTCTTAATTATCACTCACTGTAAGGAGCTTCTCTGATGATGCTTGTGTGATGCACTGATCAATGAGTATAGCAATATGTCATAGGAGTCATTGTATTTCTATGTCCATTCATCAGAATCATACTAGTAGGATTTCCCCTAAAGCTTTTGGCCTGTCTAATCTCAGGTTCTTGGCCTGATTAAGTGTCAAGTATGGGGCCCATTTAATGGAGTGGACTTTAAGTCCAGTCAAACAGTCCTTTTTATTCCCATAGCATTTGTTCTATTTTTGCACCAGTATATTTACAGGAAGGTTGATTTTGTACATCACTAGGTTAGTATATGGGCCAGATTGATGATTTCTTTGCCCCATTTGGTAGTGTGTGTAGCACCTTTTGGCACTATGAAATATAGCCAGTTAGGGTAAAGCTTCCATTTCAATATAAGTTTGTGATGCATTCTGCAAATTAAAACTACCTTGAAATCTTACTGTCAAATTTTAGTGAGTAGCCAGTAGCATTACCAGTGGCCTGTAGTGTATTGGGGGAGGGGGATCTGTGAGACTGCTTTGGCCAGAACTTCAAAAGGTAATGACCCATTTCTAAAATAGGTTTTCATTAGGTAATGAGTGATGTCTTCTTGGAGGGAGTATCCCTCTATTGCATGGTCACTCTCTTGTAATCTTTTTAATATACCTATTTCTAGGAAGTTCTATTGCGATAGGTTTCATTATAACCCTTTTGAAAAGCTTTCCTTGTTAAATGTCCCTCCCCACAATTCCACCTCTATTCTTCAATTCCTCACCCCATTTAATACATGTAAATTTTTTGGTCTACATGATTAATCTCTGTAAGTATGTCTGTGGCCATTCAATTTGTTGCCGGTTCTTTTCCTTATTCATAGATTAACTATGAAACTTGTGATTCCTCCTGAAAGAGATGAGGTATGACACTCAAAAGTCCTTGTTTGTCTTGCCACACTCATAGTCTTCAGGTCTATATCTCTTGCTCATCCCTGCCTGAAACCAGTGGTAAATTGAGTTTTAAATTTTGATTTATTTGGTTTTCTGTGCCTAGATTTTTATTCAAAATCACTCTCTGTTTTATTTTCTATGCAAGTTACTGAGTTTCTCATCCTATCTCTGAATGTACTGCCTGAATTTTTCTGTTCATTTAAATCCAATTTGGGCTCATTAATCATCTTTAAAATTGGACTTTTGAATTCTTTATCTTGTATTTTTACTATTTAACTATTTGGGGATTTGGTTATTGGGGAATTAGAAACTTTAAAATACGTATTTTTGTTATTTATCTGTATGTGTGTCTACACATGTGTTTTTGCACACACATGGAGATGTCCCCAGAGGACAGAAGAGGGCATTGAAATTTTCTGGAACTGTAATTACAGGAAGTTATTTTCCACTTGGTATGGGTGTTAGAAATGAACTCTGGTCTTCTGCAAGTGAAGCAACAAGAACTCTTGCCTTTTGAACCCCATCCTCAACCTCAAGCATAGTTTTAAGGTGGTATAGTGGGGATAACTCAGGTCATTCACAAAGATAGCCTTTAGTCTACTTTCATATGAAGTGGGATGCTGAAAGCTTTTGCTGAATGGAGCAGAGAGAGAGAAATGTGGGAACTTAAGCAGAATAAAATATTTTAGGAATCTACTTAGAAATAAATTACAGCAGCAACTCTTCTTTTGAGATTATCTTGGGTGTTACAGAGAGCAGGCTATATCTATCCCATGTACTTGTGTGATAAGATTGTTTTTTGTGTTCTTTGGTTTGTTTTTGTTAAAAGCAATCAAAGAAGAATGTATGAGAAACCATATGAAACTCAGAGTGCTTCCTGTCTAGCTATCTACAAAACTAGTTTGTTAACCTTTATTCTGTTGCTTCTGACTATAGAAAGTTGATGATAAATGACTTGGAGGTGAGCTCACTGCTCAGGGTTGTAGAAGGAAGGGATACTTCATTTAGAGGTATTGATGGAGGTGGACAGTTGAGTTCAAGTTGTACCAGGAGTAGAATAAGGCCAAAAGAAACCTAATGGTTTGGATGAAAATAGAGGGACCTGTGGCTAAACATTGCAATGAGAGTGTAAGACATTATCAGGAAGGGTGGACAAAGAGACACTTATTTTTTTTTCTCTTTTCGGGGGGCCTGCAACCCAGCTCTCAAATAAATCACACAACGGAGGCTTATTCTCAATTATGAATACCTAGCCTTAGCTTGGCTTTACCTAAATTATCCTGTCTAGCATTTGCCTTTGGGCTTTCCTTTTCTTACTTCTGTAAATCTTACTCTTACTCTGTGACTTGCTGTGTAACTGGTTGGCTATCCCCCCCCCCCAAGTCCTCCTTTCTCTAGCTACTTCTCTCCTTCTTTCAGATTTCTCTATATTCTATATATTCTCTCTGCCTGCCAGCTCCACCTATCCTTTCTCCTGCCTCCTATTGGCAATTCAGATCTTTATTAGACCATCAGGTATTTTAGACAGGAATAGTAACACAGCTTCACAGAGTTAAACAAATGCAACATAAACAAAAGTAGCACACCTTAAAATAATATTCTACAACAGACTCTGTTGTCTTGAAGACAGAAGAGATCCAGAAATTGCCAAGAATAACCATTTCAGGGTGTTAGCTGGACTCTTTATTGATGATGTCACAGTAATAAGGCATAAGTGGTATGGTCCTGGTCAACATCCGGAAACAGATGACAGGGAGACTATGAAAAGAAAAAGTAATGTGAGTAACATTACTAGTGTTCTTTAAATTGGGAGTTTTGAACCTGGAATGTAAGTAAGGTAGTTGTTAAGAATAAATCAAGAAGAGTCTGGTGTATATAGGTGAAATTAGTTGTAAATGAAGTATAGATTTTTGGCGGCAGTTGATCCTATATAAGTAGAATAAAAATGCTGTAAAAAGATGGAATAGTTTCCATCACTGGTCCTATTTATGAATAGCTTTGAGCACAGAAGAAGTAAAACTGTAGATTGTTTCAAGTTATAAAATAAACCCCTTAAAATGAGAGTAGTTAATCTTTGAACACAGATATATTAGGGTATGTGCATGTATATGTTTGTGTGTGTTTCATACCTCTCTCTATTTAGAATTGGTTCATTTTGCTATGTAAAGTCCTTTTTATCTGATAACCAAATTGTAAAGGTGTTGATACTGAAATATCTCTTTTTGTAAAAGTATGAACATTGACACAAAGAACATGGCAGTTATTCTTAACACAAAGGATTGAAATTGTCTAAATTGGGTTACCAGATAACTGAAAGCTGTGTATCATGTGAGCATAATGGTAGCCGTTTCATGACAACACTATAAGAGAGTCTGTATTTTATTATAGGAAGTTTTATTTGACATTCATACCAGAGCAAAATGTGTTTTAGCTTTAAATGTATACCTTTTTTTTTCATTTTATATCTCAACAAAGCTGGGGAAAAAACCAAGGGCAGAGGATTCCCCAAACCTGGACAAGATGAAGCCAGACCTGGAATAGATAACCAAGCAGCTCCAGGTGATTGCTCTTTTTCTATTTTGATTTGGAAATTAATTCCTCTACATTGAATAATGCTGTAGTGTTTCAGAAAGAAAGACTCTTTTCTATCTAATAGAAACAAATACAGAAAATAGCCTAATGATTAACTGCTAGAAATTTTCACTGTGCTACTCCAACATTGCTGTTTGCTCTAATAAAAGCCTCCTCTTTGAATAATTAGACCATTGCCTTCATTTTAGAGAATAAAACTATTTCTTGATGATATAAAATTGTATTGTAAGTAAAACTTTGATTTTTGTGGCGTTTTTGGTTAAAATTGTTTTTCTGTGTTTATTGCTTTTATTTATTCTTTGAAATTTTTGTAGAATTTAATTTGACCATATTCTTTCCCCTCCCCTAGCTCATCTTAGATCATCTTCTACCATCCTATCCTTTAAACTTCATGTTATTTCTCTCTCTTAAAAAAAATGAAAATCACATAAAAAGAACATTGGGAGTCTGACTTGTGTTAGTCAACTATTCCTGAACATGTAGCCTGCCTTGCAGTGTGGTTGCTATACCTACCTAGTGTTACTCCAATGAAGAAAACTGATTTTCCCTTTCCCAGCAGCTATCAATTGTGAATCAGTTTGCTAGGACTGGGACTTTGTGCCCACTTCCCCTTATCCATGCTAAGAATTTGTCAGGTTTGAGCTTTTACTCATCTTGTACATTCTGTTACAGTCTTTCTGATTTCATGTGTTTGTTTACTCTGTAATTTCTGAAAAATATTGTCTGGTGGAAGTCCTTTTCCACCTCTGGCTAGAATCTTTCTGCCTCCTCTTCCACATAGATCCCGGAGCCTTGAGGGGAACAGTGTGATACAAATATCCCATTTAGGGTACAACACTCCAAAGTTTCTCACTCTCTGCAGATTGTTCAGTTGTTGGTCCTTGTGTTAATTACCATACACTGCAAGAAACTTCTCTGAAGAGGATTAAGCATTATGGTGACCAACGTGTATAACAATATGCCTTTAGGGGGTGGCTTTATTACTGTATCCATTTAGCAGAGTCATACTAGTGGGACTTCACTAAGTTGTGTGACCTTATCCATATTAACTGTCCAATATGGGCTCCATCTCATGGAGTGGGCCCTAATTCCAATAAAAAAGGGTTGGTTTTCCCTATAACAGTTGTATCACTATTGCACCAGTGTATGTTGCCAGTAGGTTGATATAGTAGGTCACAGGATTAATAAATGAGTCAGATTGATGATTACTTTTCTTGTCTAGTGTGTATAGCAGTGTTTAGCACTGTGAATCATAGTCATTAGTGTTGAAGCTTCTATTTGAATAGCAGCTAGGTTTCTCCATGCCCTATGACAGAAGTATGTGCTTTGTTCAGTAAATTAAAACTATCTTGTGATTCTTACCATCAAGTTGATGAGGGTAATTAATAGCTTTGACAGTGGCCTATAGTATTGGGAGTGGGTTCTCTGGGACATCTTTGTCTAACACAATCTTTGTCTAAAATGTGGTAACCCATTTCTTGTATTACAGGGGAGTTTTGGTAATATTTGTTGTCTAGTTGGGGGTATTTCTCTCCATTAGATGATCATTTCACTTTTTTTATATATGAGTGGGAATATGTATATGTTTCAGGAAGCTTATACTATAGTAAGTTTCCATATTGGTTGTTTAAAGTCTTTCCTGTTAGATATTCTTCCCCACCTTCCTAACTCTGATCTTTACTCCTTTCTCCCACAACCTTTAATCTGTGTAGTTTTTTAGTTTGGCCTACATGATTAATCTTTTTTTTTTTTTTGAGTGTGACAATTCTAGTTTACTAACAGGGTATAGCTATACAGAAACTATTGAGGTGGACATTAAATCTCCAAAGTAACTTCCCGAAGTCATATTTTAAAATTTAATTCTGGAGACATTGACACTGGGAGATGTGCCTTTAGGAAGTTATCAGGCCATGATGGTAGATCCTTCCTTATTGTGATAGTGTTGTTATTTTTTTCTTTAAATTTTTTTCTTCATTTTACATACCAACCACAGATCCCCCTCTCATCCCTCCTCCCACTCCCTCACCGTGGCTTTCCCCCCAACCCACTCCCTCATTCCCTCCAACAGGATAAATTCTCCCATGGGGGGACAGCTAAGCCTGGTACATTCAGTTGAGGCAGGACCAAGACCCTCCCCTCTGCATCAAGGGTGAGCAATGTGTCCGACTACAGGTAACGGGATCCAGAAAGCCAGCTCACGCACCAGGGATAGATCCTGATCCCACTGCCAGGGCCCCCCCGCAAACAGACCCAGCTACACAATTGTCTCCCACATACAGAAGGTCTTGTTCGGTACCATGCAGGTTCCATAGCTGTCGGTCTAAAGTTTGTGAGTTCCTTTGAGCTTGGTTCAGTTGTCTCTGTAGATTTCCCCATCATGATCTTGACCCCCTTGCTCATGTAATCCCTCTTCCCTCTCTTCGACTGGACTCCTGGAGCTTGGCCTGGTGCTTGGCTGTGGATTTCTGCATCTGCTTCCATCAATTACTGGGTGAAGGCTCTATGATGACAGGGTATTCACCAATTTGATTACCAGGGCAGGCCAGTTCAGGCACCCTCTCCACTATTGCTAGTAGTCTAATCTGAGGTTGTCCTTGTGGATTCCTGGGAATTTCCCTAGCACCAGGTTTCTCCCTTACCCCATAATGTCTCCCTCTATCAAGGTATTTCTTTCATTGTTCTCCCATGTGCCTATGGTCATTCAGTTTGTTGCATATTATCTTCATTACTTACAGATATGTATGCAACTGGTGATTCCTCCTGAAAGAGATGAGATATGGCACTCATAGTCTCTGTCTGGCCTTCTACACTCACCATGTAGTCCTATATCTTCTCCTTCTCCCTGCCTGGGGCCAGTGGTGTATTGAGTTTTAAATTTTGATTTAATGAGTTTTCTTTGCCTAGATAATTTGTTCAAAATCACTATGTTCTGTTATCTATGCAAGATGCTAAATTTCTCATCACTGAGCTGACTGTTTGAATTTATTATCTCTTCATTTGAATCCAATTTGGGATAATTAGTCATCCTTAAAACTAGACTTTTGAGTTCTTTATCCCAAATGTTTACCATTTAAGTGTCTTTTGATTTCCTTGTGGATGAGTTAGGAACTTAAAAAGATTTTTTTAATCATCTGTATGTGTGTCTGCATATATGTTTTTACACTTACATGCAGGCATCTTCAGAGAATAAAACAGGATATTGGATCCTCTGGAACTGTAGTTACTCTGAAATGTAGTTGTGAACAATTTGATACAAGTGTTGGAAATAAACTCTGGTCCTTTGTAAAGGCAGCATCTTGTGCTCTTAACTGCTGAACCTTCCCTTCATGTCCCCAGGAATGTTTTAAAATAATGTGAAGGGATAGTTAAGGTCATTCATAAAAACAGACATTAGTCTTCATATAAAGTGGAGGGTTGAGTCATTTGCTGAATGGAGCAGAGAAAGATAGATGTAGTAACTTAAGCAGAAGAAAACACTATAGAATGACAATATACCATAAAATCAATTACAAGGGTGATTCCTCCTTGGAGATTAATATAGAATTTTCAAAGAGTCTTATCCAGTCCATGGGGTTGTGACATGTGTTTGGTTTTTATATTCATTGGTTTTATTTTTAACAGAAAGCACACAAATAGGTTTATATGACAGAGACTGTATATGGCCTTCAGAATGTTTACTATTTACAAATGTCTAGCTCTTCACAAAACAAGATTGCTAACCTCTAGTCTGTTGATTCTGCTAGAGGAAGTTGATGACAAATGACTTGGAGGTGAGAGCTGACTCACTACTCAGGAGTGTTGAAGAAAGGGATACTTCATTTAGGAATATTGGTGGAGATAGATAGTTGAGTGCAAGTTGCATCAGAAATAGAGCAAATCCAGCAGGAGCCTAATGACTTGGATGAAAATGAGGGAACTGTGGCTAAACCTTTGCATTGAGAGTATAAAACATGATCTTTTGGTCTGAAACTAAAGATAGCAGGTAAGGGAGTTGAAGGTAGACAAAGGGTTGTTTTAGGGGATAGAAGAGATCCACAAATTGCCAGGAATAACCATGTTAGGGTCACTAGAATCTTTAGTGATAAAGTCAATATGATGGGGTATCAGTGGTCAGATCCTGATGAAAATCTTGATAATGATGACAAGGAGTGTGAGTAATATTACTAGAGTTCTTTATTTAAAATAGGAGTTTGCAACACGAAATGTAAGGCAGTTTGTAAAAATAAATGAGTCTGGTGGTATATTTAAGTGAATTGGTTGTAAATGGGGAGTAAAGTTATGGCCACAGTTAAATGATCTCATATTTTCCCTGGTAGCTGAGGATAGATTACTTTCTTCTTAGTAATTAACAAAAATGGCATTAAAAGGCTGTATAAAAATGGAGTATTTGCTATCACAAGTCCTGTTTATGCACGTTACATGGTCTTTGGGTAAGGAAGAAGTAAAATAGTAGACTGCACCTCTGATGATAATGATGGTAGACTTTTCATGTTATATGAAGCTTTATTATTTGGCATGTGTACAGGAACATAATGAGTTCTATTTGTAAATGTACATCCATTTTGTTTTTCATTTCATACCTCAACAAAGCTGGGAAAAAACCCAAGGGCAGAGGATTTACCAAACCTTGGGAAGAAGAAACCAGACCAGGGAAAGATGTCCAAACAGCCTCAGGTGATTGCTTTGTTTTTCTATATAGATTTGCAGGATAATTCCTCTATATTGATTAATGGAGTAGAGTTTCGGAAGGAAAGCCACCTTTCTATTTTAAGGAAACAAATGCAGAAAGTAGCCCAGTGATTAACTGCTGGTAATTTTCACTGCTCTAGTCCAGGATTTTTGGTTGTTCTAAGAAAAGCCTCCTTTTGGAGAATTAGACTATTTCTTGATTATATGAAAATCTACTGTATGAGAAACTTCAGTTTTGTTGTACTTTGGGTTGAAAATTTTTTACTTTTCTTCATTTAATTATTTTATTTATTTAATCATTGAAAATTTCATGTGGCTTATTTTGTTCATATTCTTTCGCCTCTCCCACGTCCTCCAAAATTGTTTTTCATGTGTCTGTCCTTCAATTTGATGGCCTTTCTATTTCTTAAGAAATGAAACACAGCCAGGCAGCGGTGGTGTAAGCCTTTAATCCTAGCATTTGGGAGGCAGAGGCAGGTGGATCTCTGTGAGTTCGAGGCCAGCCTGGTCTACAGAGTGAGTTCCAGGACGGGCTCCAAAGCTACACAGAAAAACCCCCCACCAAAAAAATGAAGCACATAAAAAATGGGAGAGTGATTTGTGTTATCTAGCTACTTCTGAATATGTGGCCTGCTTTGGAGTGTGGTTGATATAACCAATGTTACCCCCTTGAAGAGAACTGATTTTCCCTTTCCCAGAAACTATCAATTCTTGGGTAGTGCTGTGTTTTATATCTACTCCCCTCCTCCATGCTGGGATTTTGTGAGTCTTGAGCTTGTACAAGACATGTGCATTCTGTTATGGTCTTTTTGAGTTCCTTTGTGCATCTGCTCTTTTGTGTTTGGAAAACACTGTATAATCAAAGTCCTTTTATACCTCTGGCTCAAATATTTCTGCCTACTTCGATGTCAATAACTGAGCCTTGAGGGATGTGATACACACATCTCATTTAGAGTTGAGTTCCAAAGTGTCTCATTCTCTGAGTTGTCAGGTTGTAGGTCTCTTTGCTAATCATCTACTGCAAGAAGCTTTTATGAAGAGGATTGGGTGATTGTACTAATCAATGAGTATATCAGTAAGTTATTAGGAGTCATTTTGTTACATTATCCCTTTATCACAGGACCTATCTAATCACAGGTTCTTTGTATCTTTAACAGTGTCAGATATTAGTTCTATCTTATGGAGTGGACCTTAAATCCATTTAAAACGTGGTTGGAAACTCCCATAACATTGTGTTCATATTTTACTAATTGGCATGTCTTGTGGGCACATGGTTATTATAATTCACAGTGTTAGTAGACAGGTAAGATTGAAGATTACTTTTCTCCTCTGTTAATATATATAACACCTTTTAACACTATGATTCATAGCCAGTGGGGTGAAACTTGCAGTTGATTACCAGCTAGATTATTCCATGGCCTTGACAAAAGTTTGTGGTATGCTCAGAAATTAAAACTACTTTGAGATTTTTTCCATCAAGTTTTAGAATGTAACCAGTAGCATTGGCAATGGCCTATAGCAGTGGTTCTCAACCTTCCTAATACTGTGATTCTTTAATACAATTCTTCATGTTATGGTAATTCCCAACCATAAAATTATCTCATCGCTACTTTATAACTGTTACTTTGCTACTGTTAGGAATTGCAATGTAAGTATCTGATATGCAATCCCTTTGGGGGTCATGACCCACAGGTTGAGAACCACTGGCCTATAGTATTGGGGTAAAGCCGTTTGACCAACACTTATAACCCATAGCTGGCACAGGTTTTTTTTTTTTTTATTTTGTAACATGTCTTGTCTGATTATGATAGTGTCCTTCTAGTACATGGTCACTTCATTAAACTGATTTTATATGTGTATATGTTTAATATTCAGGACCTTTCTACCATAGAAAGGTCCCATAAGGCCTTTTTTGAAAGGCCTTTCACTTTATATATCCCTCCCCAAATTTCTTCCTCTATTCTTTGCTCCTACCCTCCATTCCCTTCAATCTATGTATTTTGTTTGTTTGTCTGTTTGTTTGGTCTACAGGATAAATCATTAAGAGTATTCCTATGGCCATTTAGTTTGTAGTTGGGTTTCTTCATTATTCATGTGATACACAACTGGAGATTCCCATTGAAGGAGATAAGGTGTGACAATGAAGTCCCTGCCAGGTCTTCCACACTCAGGATCGTCAAGCCTGTATCTCGCCCTTCCTTTCCTAGGGCCTGTGGTTCACAGAATTTTAAATTTTGATTTATTAAGTTTTTCCTTGCTTAGTTCTTCTTTTCATAATCTCTATCTCTGTACTGAGTTTTATATGCAAGTTGCTGAATTTCTCATCTTAGCCCTGAATTCCCTGTATTTGCTTGTTCAGTTGAGAATAATTTGAAGTCATTAATCATTTTTAAAACTAGACTTTGAGTTCATTGTCTACAATTTTTACCATTTTAGCATTATATTTAGACATGGAAGAGTTAGGAACATGAAAGATTTAATTGAGCTGTATGTATTTTTTCACATGCATTCCAGTGTCATAAGAGGACAGAATAGAGCATTGTTTCTCCGGAAGTAAAATTACAGGCAGTTGTGAGCCACTTGATGTAGATATTGGAAATGAACTGTGGTCCTGTGGAAGGGTAGCCACAAGCACTCTTTATAGCTGTCCACCTCTTCAGCACCAAGGAATGTTTTAAGATGGTGTAATGGTATCATTAAAGTCATTCACAAAGACAGATTTTACTCTTCATATAAAGTAGACGATTGAATGCTTTGCTAAATGGAACAGAGAGAGATAGAGGTAGGAACTTAAGCAGAAGAAAACATTGTAGCCTGGAAATATACTTAAAAATCAAAACAGTGAATCCTCTATAAAGATTAGCTTGGACTTTACATAGAACAATATACAGCCTATGTAGCATATGGGATGAGATTTGTTTTTATGTTCTTTGGTTAGTTTTTTCTTAAACAATCAGACAAAGAAGAATATGTGAAAGAGACCATATGTGACCGCCAGAATGTTTATTGTCTAGCTGTTTACAGAACCAGATTGCTTATCTTTATACTGTTGCTTCTTATTGAAGGAAGTAAATGAGTATGTGACTTAGTCAGGAGCTGACTCACTGCTTAGAGGTGATAATCATTTAGAAGTATTGGTGGAGGTGGACAGTTGAATGCAAGTTGCATCAGGAGTAGAGAAAACCAGAAGGAATCTAAGGGAACTATGGATAAACTTTGCAATGAGAGTGTAAAACATGATCATATGAAACTAAAGATACCGAGTAAAGGAGTTGAAGGTATACTGTAGCTCAGTCCCATGGACCTCGCAGCTGCTTTATAAAATAATCACTCAGAAGCTTATATTAATTAAAACTGCTTGGCCATTAGCTCAGGCCTACTACTGACTAGCTTTTACACTTTAACTCAGCCCATTTCTGTTAATCTGTATGTGGCCACGTGTTATGTGGCTTTACCTGTGTGCCATTACATGCTGCTCCCTGGACAGCAGGCTGGTATCTCCTGACTCAGCCTTCCTCTTCCCAGAATTCTCTTTATCTGCTTATCCCACCTATACTTCCTGCCTGGCTACTGGCCAATCAGCATTTTATTAAACCAGTGTACAAAAGCATTATCCCACAGCAGTAGATAAAGAGACACTGTAGTCTTGGAGATAGAAGAGATTCAGAAATTGCCTAGAATAACTATTTCTGGGCCTTAGCTGGAATCTTTAGTGATGATGTCAATGTGATGAGGCATAGGTGTTCTGGTCCTGATCAACATCTGAAACTGATGACAGGAAGAGAATGTAAGAAAAAGTAATGTAAGTAATATTACTAGAGGGTTTTATTTTATTTTTTTTAACTGAATGTTTTAAACCTAGAGTGGAAGGTAGTTGCTAAGAATGAAGTGAGTTTGGTGCATATAGGTGTATTAGTTGTAAATGATGGATAAATTTATGATGCCAGTTAAGTGATCTTATATTTGCCTTGGCAACAGAGGATGGACTCTGTCCTTTTTTGGTGAGTAGTAGAAGTGGAATATAAAGGCTGAAGAAAGATGGGGTGTTTGCTATCCCAGGTCATGTTTATGCATACTCTATGGTCTTTGGGTAATGAAAAAACAAAGCAGTAGACTGTTTCAACTTAAAAAAATAAAACCCTCAAAATGTTAGTATTTTTTGTGTGTGTGTGTGTTTCATATCTACCTACAAAGTGTTTAAATTTATAATTAGTAATGTTTGCTAGGTAAAATTCATTTTTCCTAATAACCTAAATTTGAAGGCATTGATACTGATATTTCTTTAACTACAAACACTTACAAAAATAACCAGGTGGTTGTCTTCACAGAAAATATTAAAATCATCTAAACTGAGCTACTAGGCAACAAAGCAGTGTATCATGTGAGCATGATGGTAGTCTTTTCATGACAACACTGTAGGAAGAGAGTATATTTTATGATAAGAAGCTTTATTGTTTGTCATACATACAGGAACATAATGAGTTCTATCTGTAAATGTACATCATTTTTTATTTTTCATTTCATACTTCAACAAAGCTGGGAAAAAACCCAAGGGCAGAGGATTCACCAAAGCTTGGGAAGATGAAGCCAGACCAGGGAAAGATGTCCAAACAGCCCCAGGTAATTGCTTTGTTTTTCTATATTGATCTATTGATTTGCAAGATAATTCCTCTACTTGAATAATGGTGTAGTGTCAGAAGAGAAGACTCTTTGCTGTTTTAAGAAAACAAATGCAGAAAGTAGCTGAATGATAAACTGCTGGAAATTTTCACCAGGCCTAGTTCAAAGTTGCTGGTTTTTCTCACAGAAGCCTTTTTTTTGGTGGTGGTGGAGGATTAGACTATTTCTTAATTATATGAAATGCTAATGTATGTTAAACTTTGCTTATGTTGCATCTTTGCTTAAAAGTATTTTTCTTTGCTTAATGATTTTATTCATTTTTTTAAATTTCATGCAATTTACTTTGGTCATACTCTTCTCCCTCCCCAATCTCCTTTCAAATTGTTTTCTACATCCCTACCTATCCAACTTCATTTTCTTTATCTCGTGAAAAAAATTGAAACACACACACACACACACACACACACACACACACACACACACACACACACACACACTGAGCTGCATGAATTATTAATAAAAACATGTCTAATTAATAAAAACAAACCTGCATGTCTTATTAATAAAAACAAATCTGGAGCCAGGCATTTGGGTGAACACTGGAAGATCAGAGAAGCAGAACAAGCCACAGCTTCCTCACCTCGCCAATTCCTCAGCTGATCCTGTTTCCTCAGACCAGAAGCTTCTGAGTCCTCATCCAAATGGATCTCAGCTGAACTGCTGCTCACAAGACTAAAAGCTTAACCAGGCTCTAGTTCCTCGTCCTCACACCTTAAATACCTTTCTGCTTCTTGCCATCACTTCCTGGGATTAAAGGCATGAGTCACCATGCTTGGCTGTTTCTAGTGTGGCCTTGAACTCACAGAGATCCAGGCGGATCTCTGCCTCTGGAATGCTAGGATTAAAGGCGTGTGCTACCACTGCCTAACCTCTATGTTTAATATTGTGGCTGTTCTGTTCTCTGACCCCAGATAAGTTTATTAGGGTGCACAATATTTTGTGGAACACAATATCACCACACTGAGCTGCGTCTGGTTTGTGTTAACTGACTACTGAGCTTGTGACCTGCCTTGGTATGTGGTTGATATACTCAGTATTACTCGGTGGAAGAAAACTGATTTTCTCTTTTCTAGCAGTTATGAATTCTTGGCTAGGGCTGGAAATTGTGATCAGCTTCCCTCTTCCATGCTGCGATTTGTGAGACCTGAGCTGTTGCAGTCTTTCTGAGTCCTTATATTCATCTGTTGTTTCTGAAAAATGTTATCTGGGAGAAGTGCTTTTCTACTTCTGCCTAGAATCTTTCGGTCTGCTTTTCCACATAGTTACCTGAGCTTTGAGTGAAAGGTGTGGTACAGGCATCCTATTTAAGGTTGGGCACTCCAAAATCTCTAACACTCTGAACATTGTCCAGTTGTAGGTCTCTTTGCTAATTACTATCCACTTAAAGAAGCTTCTCTGATGATGCTTGAGTGATAAATTAATGAGTATAGCAATATATTGTTAGGAGTTGTTTTATTGCTGTGTCCATTCTGAACCTTGTTAATAGGATTTGGCCTTTGAAATGTGACATCTTGTCACAGGTTCTTGGTCTCACTAACAGTGTCAGGTATGAGTTATAGCTGATGGAGTGGACCTTAAATTCAATCAAAAAGTACTTTGTTAGTCCTATAATGTTTGTGCTGTTACTGTGCCAGTAGCTGGTTATTGTAGCTCACAAGGATAACAGACCTGTCTCTTGTTGATTACTTTTCTTCTGTGGTAGTGTTTATAGCACTGTTTAGCAATATGAACCACAGTGAGTAGGACAGGGGCTTCCATTTGAGCATCAGCTACATTTCTCATTGGGGCATGACATATATTTGTGGAATGTTCAGCAGATTAAAACTAACAAGATTCTTGGTGTCATGGTATAGAATATAACCAATAAGTCTTAAACCTGGAATAGAAGGTAGTTGTTTAAAATGAAATAAGATGAAGCTGGTTGTAAATAGATGAACTGGTTAAAAATGAGTGGGAAAGTTATAGTGGAAGTAAAATGATGTTACATTCGCCCTGGCAGCAGAGTATAGACTGCCTTTTTTTTGGTGAAAAGTAAAAGTAGGATGTCAGAGCTGCACAAAATTTTGATACTTGTTGTCACAAGTTTATTGTATGCATATTTATATCATCTTTGAGTATGGAAAAAGCAAAGAAGTAGACTGACTACTCTTTGAATTTGTAAAGTAAAACACTCCAAGTAAATGTAGTTGATCTTGAATATGTTTATAGTTTCATCTCTCTCACTCAAAGGCTTGTTTAGTTAGAATTAGTAGATTTTACTATGTAAACTTCATTATTAATAAGTAAGTTTTTAAGGTGTTGATACTGAACTATCTCATTGGTTTATTTGGTTTTTATTTATTTATTTATTGCTGGGAACATAATCAAAATTAGCCTGGCAATCAGTCTTCATCAGAATATTAAAACTGACTAGATTTGGTTGCCAGGTAACTGGAAGCTGCATATCACATGAGCATGTTATGAAGCTGTGTATCACCTGAGTCTTTTCAAGATTAGAGTCTGTACATTAGGATTAGAACCTTCATAATTGGCATACATACTCAATACAATGTGTTCTGGCTTTAAATGTACATAACTTTTGTTTTTCATTTCATAACACAACAAAGTTGAGAAAAAACCCAAGAGGAAGAGAGTCACCAAACCTTGGAAAGAACAGGCCACACCTTTTGAAGATGAAGCAGCAGCCCCAGGTGATTGTGTTGCTTTACCTATCTATATTGACTTACAAGGTGATTCCTGTGTATTGAATAATGGTGTAGTGTTTTCAGAAGGAAATACTTTTTCATTTTGAGAAAAAAACATTCAAAAGTAACACAATGATAAATTGATAGAAATTTTCACTGTGATAATTCAAATTAGATAGTTATTCTAGTAAATTCATCCTTTTGAGAATTAGATGGTTTTCTGATTATAAACTCTTTTAGGTCTTAAAAGAGAAAGTTCTTGGTTGTGATTATAAGTTAATTTTAACCTTTCTCCCTTTCCCTTTTCCTCTCTCCAAACTGTACCATATACCCCTCCTGCTCTTCAAATTCATGGCCTCTTTTCTCACTAATTGTTACTGCATGCATATGTGCATGTGTATATACATATATAATGTATTCCTAGATATAACCTGTCCAGTCTGTATAATGCTACTTCTATGTATGTTTCCAGGGCTGGCTTTTTGGCACTAGACAACTGATTGTTGTACTTTTCCTTGAGGAAGGCCACTTCTCTGGTTTCCACCTTTCCTTGGTTGTCTATATTTCACTGTATAGGGTTGATGCATTGTGGACTTTTCTCTTTTCACTTTGGCATGTGAATAGTGAACTCAACAATTATATGTGGGTGTGAAGGCAAATGTTTATAGATTTTTGTTGGAAATTAAGCTGGTTTAGCAAATTAGTGGTTGTAGATTTTCTTCCAATAACCATCACTTCACTAGCACTGAGGTTTTACCTGGGTTTCAAATAGCAGGCATAGTCTCCCTCTTGTTGAGTAGGTCTTAAGTCCAAGTAAAGTGCTGTTGGTTACTGCCAAGGTATGTGTGTCACTAATGCATCCTTAGGGTCATCATGCCACGATGGGAATTGTGACATATCAAGTGATTAAGGTGGTGGCCTTTTCATGACTACACTGTAGTAGAAGCTTTATTTTTTGGCATACATGCTGAGGATGTCTTTCTGTATAAATAAAACACTGATTGGCCAGTAGCCAGGCAGGAAGTATAGTAAAGGCAGGACAAATGGAACATAATGCCTTCTCGCTTTAAATGTACATTTTTTTTAAATTTTCATTTTGTACATACAGCAGTAACACTGAGAAAAATTATCTATATTGATTTACACTATTATTCCTGTATATTCAATAATGCTATAATGTTTCTAGTATAGGGTTGTGGCCTGGTAGACTTTTCTCTGTCTAGTTTGCAGATGTATAGGTGTCATTCCTGTTTAGCTCCTGTTTGGGCACTCATGTTGGTGAGACTTTATGGGTGTTGTTTCTGATATTACTAGTAGACACAGTCTTATAGCAAACTCTCTGACCCTCTGGCTCATAGAATCTTTCCATTGTATCATGGGCAGTGTTCCCTCAGCCTTACTTTAGGTGCAGGACTGTTCTGTAGATTTATTTATTTGGATTAGACTCCACCAATGTGCATTTTGATTGATTGTGGTTTTTGTAGTCATTTCTGTCTGTTGCAAAGAGAAGTTTTCCTGATGAAGAGAGAAGACTACAATTATCTGTGGTTATAAGGACAAATATTTATAGATTCTTGTTAGTGATTATGCTGGTTTACTGAAATAGTAGTTATAGATTCACACCTAAAATCATGACTTCACTCACACTGATTTTTTTTTTAGCTAGTTTCAGTATCAGGCATGTTCTTCCTCTTGTTGAGTGGCTCTTAAGTCCAAGTAAAGAGCTGCTGGTTAACATGAAGGTATATGTGCTACTACTGCATCCTTAGGGTTATCATGTCATGATGGGCATTGTTACACATTGCATGAACATGATGGTAGCCTACTTTTATAACAACACTGTATTGGGGGTATGCATTAGCATTAAAATTTATTACTTGGCATACATACTGAATGGAACATAATGTGTACTAGCTTTAAATATACATAATTTTTTTTCATTTCATACCTCAACAAAGCTGAGAAAAAAACGCAAGGGCAAAATAGTCACCAAACTTTGGAAAGATGAAATCATAACTATTGAAGATGATGAAGCAGCTCCAGGTGATTGCTTTGCTTTGTTTTTCTACACTGAGTCACAAGATGATTCCTGCATTTAAATAATGGTGTAATGTTTTCAGATGGCAAGATTGTTTTTTGTTTAAAAAAAAAAAAAGTAAGTAGCACATTGGTTAATTGATAGAAATTTTAACTATATTGTGTCAAATTTGCTTGTTATTCTAATAAGTTCATTCTTTTGGAGAATTAGATTGTTTCTTGCTTATAGATATTTTATTTTGATGTTTTACATGAGAAGTTCTCTGTTTTTGAGATTATAATTTAATTACAACTATTCTCCCTTTCCATTCTCCCTCTAAAGCCTCCCCAAAAAAACCCTCCTTATCTCTGGAAAATCCATGTCCTCGTTTTCTGACTAACTCTACTACATGTATAGGTGTGTGTGTGTGTGTGTGTGTGTGTGTGTGTGTGTGTGTGTGTGTGTGTGTGTGTGTGTGTGTGTGTACGTGCATGCACACGCACATTTATAGTCCTAAATATAACATGTTCAATCTGTATAATAGTACCTGTATGTATATTTTTAGAGCTGGCTTTTTGGCATAAGACAACCAATTACTATATTCTTTCTTGGAGAAAGCCAGCTCTCCTGTTCCTAGCTTTCCTCAGTTGCCTATATTTCTTTGGAAATGTGAAAGGCACATTGGACATTACTGTATCCAGTTGCATATGTATTGGTGCCATTCTTGTCAGTTCACATATGGGCAATCATGTTAGTAAGAATTTATGGGTGTTGCTTCTGATATTACTGAGTGACACAGTCTTACAGCAAGCTCCCCTATCTTCTGGCCCTTAAAATCATTCTACCCCCATTTGGGCAGTGTTCCCTGAGCCTTACCTTAAGTGCAGGAGTGTTTTGTAGACGGATCCATTGTGACTGAGCTCCACATGTCTGTTTTCATTGCTTGTGGATTGCTGTAGTGTTGTCTGTCTTGCAAAGAGAAGTTGCACTAGTGAGTAATACAGACTACAATTACATTAGGATATGAGGACAAATGTTTATAAATTGTTGTTCGGGATTGTGTTGTTTTGTAAATTAGTGGTTGTAGATTCTTTTACAATAATCATTTTATGAGTACAGAGTTTTAAGCTGGGTGTCCAGTACCAGTTACTCTCACCCCATGTTGAGCAAGTTTTAAGTCCAAGTAAAGAGCTGTTGGTTACAAAGAAGGTATACGTGCCATTGCTCTATACTTGGAGTTATCATGCCATGAGGGCATTGTTGCACATCCCCTGAAATTGATAGCCTTCTTTAGTATTAGAAGCTTTATTATATGGAAAACAGTAGATTAAGCATAATGGGTTCTAGGTTTCAATATACATAATGTCTGTTTTTTTTTTTATTTCATAACTCAATAAAGCTGAGAAAAAACAGAAGGGCAAAACAATCACCAAACCATGGAAAGACCAAGGCGGACTTTTTGAATATGGAGAAGCAGCCCCAGGTTATTGCTTTATTTTGTTTTATCTATATTGATTCACATGATGCTTGCCTTATATTGAATAATGGTGTAATGTTTTTAGAAGGCAAGATGGTTTTTCACTTATAAAGAAACAAGTGTAAGTACCACAATGATAAATTCATAGATATTTTCACTATGATAAGTCAAATTTGTCTCTTATAATAAGTTCATCCTTTTAGAAAATTACATTGCTTCTTGATTACATATTCTTTTCATGTTTCCAAGGAGATTGATAATCACTTTTTATGAAATTATCATTTAATTTCAACCTTTCTCCATACCCCTTCATCCTTCCAAAACCTCCCATTTCAACGCCCTTCTCTATGCCCAAATTCATGGCCTCTTTTCACACTAATTGTTAGTGATTGTATTTAAGAATATCTATGTACACACACACACACACACACACACACACACACACACACACACTCCTAAATATAACCTGTTCAGTCTGTATAATAATACCTGTATGTATGTTTTCATGACTAGCTTTTTGGTACCAGACAGTAAATTGGTGTGTTCTTCCCTGAGTACTCCTACCTCTCTTATTCCTAGTTTCCTTCAGTTTTCTATCATCCTTTGAGTATGTTTGAAGCCTCTGTGCTTTCCTCTGTCTTGATTTGTGTATATATTGGTACCATTCTTGTTCAGCTCATGTTTGGGCAGTGATGTGTGTAAGATTTTATGTGTGTTTCTCCTGATATTACTAGGAAACACAGTCTTAGAAGAAGTTCCCTAACCCTCTGGCTCTGATGATCTCTCAGCCCTCTCTTGGATAGTGTTCCCTGAGCCTTATCTTATGTACAGGAGACTTCTGTAGATGTATCCATTAGGATTGGAGTCCACCACTCTCTGCTTTGATTGGTTGTGGATCTCTGTAATGGTCTCTGGCTGTTGCAAATGACAGTTTCTTTGATGAAGAGTAAGACTGCAATTCTTCACAGTTATCTTCAGGTGTAAGAACAATGGTTATAGATTGTTGTTAGGGGTTGTGCTGTTTTAGTAAGTTAGTGGTTGTAGATTTTTCTCCAATAATCATCATTTGACCAGCACAGTTGTTAGCTGGGTTTCCAGTGCTAGGCATCTGTACCCTCTTGCTAAGTGAGTCTTAAGTCCAAGTAAAGAGCTCTTGGCTACAAAGAAGGTCTGTATTCCACTACTGCATACTTAGAGTTATAATGCCATGATGGTAATTGTTACACATCAGGTGACAATGATGGTAGCCTTCTTTATGACAAGGCTTTAATAGAACATATGCATTAATACTGGAAGCTTTATTATTTGGAAAACAATAGTGAATTAAACATAATGTGTTCGAGCTTTAAATGTATATAATCTTTGTTTTTCATACCTCAATAAAGGTAAGAAAAAACAAAGGGGCAAGACAGTGACCAAACCATGGAGAGACCAAGGTGGACTTTTTGAATATGAAGAAGCAGGCCCAGGTGACTACTTTGCTATGTTTTGTTTTTATCTCTGTTGATTCAC